TAGCCAATTTGCTGCTCACATGCGAAGTTGGGGTTGTCCACATGACAACCTTGTCGCTATTTTTGACGGTCATTTACAGCCCACGTGCCGACCCGGGGGTGATGCTAACTGGAAGTTGACCCTACATGACAGGCAGACGTTTGCCGGAAAGGAGAGGCTGCACGGGTTGAAGTATCAGGCTTGTGTATTCCCGAATGGGATATGCTGCGTGTGGGGGCCTTGGAGGGGTTGTGAACACGATGCAACAATGTTTCGGCGGTCTGACGTTCTTGAAACCTTGCGCGAGGTGTCAGAGGAGCAGGGGGTGGACTTCTGCTGTTTTGGGGATTCGGCGTATCCCCTTAGCCGCTTCATGCAGCACATCTTGAAGGCTCCAGCGGAAGGGGAGCTCACGCGCCTGGAGAGGAGGTATAACGCCCTTATGGGCCGCTTTCGCATTGTCATTGAGAATTGCTTTGGAGAGGCAACTCAATACTTCGGCATGCTGCAACACCGACACAATCTGCGTTTGGGGAGCCAGCAGGTTGGGAAGCTCTTTCCTCTTGCGATGTTCATTTTCAACATCCACACTCTGTTTTATGGGAACCAGACAACAGCATACTTCGAAGGGGAGCACATGGTACTGGATGTGTCTGTGGAGGATTACCTGTCGTTGGCAGATGAGTTTCAATAAAGAAAACCTCTACCGTTAGTCGTTCCCTTTCAGCATCTTCACCAGATAATCTGGGATGTTCACACCCCTGTCATGCAAAGCCAGAAACGCGTTCATCGCATCGGCCGCCCGCTGCGAGCGAGTAGCTTCCGCCTTAATTCGTTCTGCCTGGGCCTTGATGATATCTGCCTCGGCCTTGAGGACCTGTGCCTTCCCAAACTGCTCCATAACGGCTCTGTCGTTTGCCTGAGAGGACTCCAGTAGATCGCACAGGCGGTCTTGCTGACTGAGAACGCCCGCAACATGGTCGGAGGACGGGCTGCCGCTTTTGCGGTTGGGCCCTTTCCCGTTGGGATACAGAGCTGGATCCTGCTTGGCGCGCTTCTGTAGACCGCATGAGGTGCCACGCCCATAGCTGCCTCCCTGTTCATTCTTCTTGCGCGTTTTCTGAACAGAATTATCCTCCTCGGAACTCGGATCTGCAGGCTCGGGGGAGGGAGTTAAGCACTGCTCAGTCTGTGCTGCGATGTTATAACCACAACGTTTAGCGGTGGTCTCCATAGCACCCTGTAGCCTCTCCCTGGCGTCATTCTCCTCATCCTGAGCATCCCTCTTCTCCCTCTCCTTCCGGTCTTTCATAGCCTTCATCCGGCCGGCCAGATCGAGCATGAGCTGGTGCATCTCTGAAAGTTCCCCGCCACCATTCTGCCACAGCTTCACCCATTTTTCCTCACCTCCGTTAGCGATTTCCTCAGCTTGTTTCTCAATCTTGCGCCATTTGTCCTTCAAGGTGTTCAACTTCAGCTGCCCTGCAAACACAGGATGCCCGTTGAGCGCCTCCTGAGCCTCCTTCAGCGTCTTCTCCTTCTTCCCCCATTCAAATATGGCACCATCGTTGTATTGCATGACACATTTGATGATCTCTACCATGCGCTGTTCCCCATCCCCCTTGAATTGCATGGCCGCATGGGACAGTTCAGATGGCTCTCCCACGCCTACTGCATTAGGTTCTTCATCGCCTGCTCCAACACGTAGTGGAGCGCCGTGGGGATCTTCAGCCTGCATAGGTTGCTGCATGGTTGATGCGCGCGCGATTGGTGAATACAAGGACTGGATCTCGCAGGGCGCTTCAAGATTCTTTCACTAAGTCAAAAAAAAAGGAGAGAATTCTATATATATTAATATTAAAGAGAGTAACTGGTACAAATAAGTGTACCGCATATATATGTAATTTACTCAATTATCAGTACTGATCGCCGGTACAAATTAGTACCAGAGTTTTGAACCTTAGGCATTTCAAACGATCACGCCAACAATGCGTGCAAGGTACTGAAACTATGCATGTTTCGCGATAAATGTGTCCATCAACTGCAATTTTTTCAAAGCCATTCATGTTCACCTTCAAGTTCATCATCTACACACACATTCCAGGCTTCCAGGCTTTGGCTTTGCATGAACCTAAACTATCCTCTGGACTTCCCTCTTTCTTCACTCCTGTCTTTCTTCTGTCTAGTGCATATGATCATGATGTTCCAATCCCTCCTCCTACCATTTGCTTCTGTTAATCTACACCCATCACCCCCCCCCCGCCCCTTCC